CCCTAATACTAAAAGACGTTGAACGCTGACAGGTACAGAGCCTCCATCCAAACCTAGTGAAACCGAACAGCTTGTCCAACCAGAATACGAGGACTTCCACTATCTGGCCCCTATTACTATCGAGGAAGCAGATTGGGCGTTGACCCTGGATCTCATCGCCATTGGGGGATTCGAGACAGCTCCAGCCTTCCTACCCACCCAGGTTCTCCAGGCTGAATTCATTGCCAATCAGGAAGGACTTTACATGACCGGCACTCTGGTTCCAAAGCCAGCAGAGAAAAGTGACACGGTTCCGATTTTTACCATAGCAGATGCTACCCTTGAGATTTGGTATGACTGGGGGCAGAGCCAGCCCGTCGCCCGTGTGGCTGGCCCGGGATTTAGTGGTGGGTTCTACGTCAAGGCGTTGTTATCGCAACCCAAGGGCTCGAGATATGGCGCACCCACTCAGATAACCGGAGCGGTCACATATGAGTCTAAGGAAGAGAAATGGCAGTTATACGGGTCGATGGATCATTTTTTTGCCTCGACGTTGGCTCAATTCTTCTCCGAGGATGTCCGAGGAGCGGTCATTCCTATGATTGAATCCATCGAGGTGAGGGGTCTCGAAGTGATCTATTCATTTTCCGATCAAGCGCCATCAGAATTCACAATCAGGGGAAATCTCGTTCTAGATCAGCACGTCTTTTCCCTGACATATACGCATCTCGGGAACTCTTGGGACTTTACTGCTGGCCTCAGAATCGACCAAGACCCATCGGTCGAATCGAATGCGGGCAATATGCTGGCATCTTTCCTTGGCGAAGACCTGAAACTACCTGATTTTCTCATCAATATCCTGGTGCCATCAAGCACCAGGGACTTGATGGAGATCAAGATCAAGAGTGAAAAACTGAAGGGCAACATTCGAAACAGTGTAATTGTGATCGCCACGTGGTTGATGGACGATCGCCTTCTGCAGTTTATACAATTTCGCCAAGTTCCAGAAGTGGGAAGCAAACCAGGGCCTGTCCGGCGAATTGTCATCGCCTCACTGCTAGCATTTCCTGCAGTAAACGTCCCTATGATAGGTGATATCACCCAGCCGTTCGATCAGGCCCTTTTTCTTTGGGCCCAAGCAGAAAATGGTGATGGAATTCCAAAGGGTGAACTAGAAAGCGTCAATGATATTCTACGCAATTCCACTCCGGCGAAGCCTACAGTGCCATTCAAGGTACTCGGTAATAGGGATAGGGATGTTAATGACGAAGATGTTGCTCTGGCCAATGGGCTACACTTCATGGTCGTCGCATTTACCACCCGCGGTTTCCTAGAGGTCATCATTGATTATACCTTCACGACCGGCACTGAATCAGGATCAAAGGCAGTGATTTCCCAGGGAGATGCTGAGAAGGGGGGAAGAATGGAGCCTTTTTCTAAAAGTATGGGTCCGCTCAAGATTAAGAGCCTTGGACTACGCTACTCAACTGGCTTATATAACGATCAATCAATCCTCTCGATTCGAATTGACGCCTCGATTATGGTGGGTCCAATAGAATTCTCCCTGGTAGGGTTCAGCATCGACTTTGATTTTGCCAAAGAAGGGGCGAGCTTGCATAGCCCACCAACCCCCGGTTTCTCACTGGAAGGGCTGCAGGCCGTCTATGACCGGCCACCGATTGAGATTGCGGGAATGCTGCAGATTGGAAAAGAACCTGAACGGGAATACTACCAAGGTGCCTTGATGATCAGCTACGTGCCTTGGCAGTTCCAAGCCGCTGGGTATTGGGGCTACACGACGAAGAAGGATATTAAAAACTTCGAGACGGTGTTTGTGTACTGTGTCCTCCGTGGTCCGCTTATCACCTTCCAATTTGTGAGCATTGAAGGGATCTGTGGGGGCTTTGGTTATAATTCGAAACTCACATACCCAACGGTGAAAGACGTGATCGACTTTCCTTTGATCAAGGACGGGGACACTCCAGGGCGGCCCGATGGTGACACCCCCCTTAAAGCCCTAGAGAATATGCTTGATACAAAATGGTTTGCGCCGCAGGACGGGTCATTTTGGGTTGCTGCCGGTCTCACGGTGAAGGCGTTTCAGATCCTTCGTGTACAGGCAGTGGTTGCTGTCCAATGGAACCCATATGTAGAGCTTGGTATATTTGCAGTGGCTACCGCCAGTATCCCAGGAGGAAACAGTGGGCGGCAATTCGCCTTTGTGCAGCTGGGAATTGTGGCCACGGTGAACCTGGAAAGTGGTGTCTTGAAGGTCGAGGGTGAACTGACGCCCGCGTCTTACATCCTGGACCCTAGCTGCCACTTAACGGGAGGATTTGCCTTGTACAGCTGGTTTGACAGCAAGGATTCCAACCTGCGTGGTGACTGGGTGTTTACTATCGGTGGCTATCATCCTTCCTATCAGAAACCATCTCAATACCCCGAAGTCGACAGATTGGGAATCAGTTGGCAGTTTGGAAAATCAATCAGCATCACCGGCAACGCGTATTTTGCTATTACGCCAAAGGCCTGTATGGGAGGCGGTAGATTGGAGCTGAAGCTCTCTCTGAACCCGCTCTACGCATGGTTTATCGCCTTTGTCGACTTCCTGATCAATTACAAGCCCTTCTTTTTCATGGCCGAAGGAGGCGTCTCGGTTGGGGTCCAATTCACTCTGGACCTCTGGCTGGTTACGATCAAAATTCATGTTGAGCTCAGCGCTCGTTTATACATCCAAGGACCGCCCATCAGTGGCACCGTCCACGTGAACTTCTATGTCTTTGGTTTCGATATTGACTTTGGCACCGAGCCTGCGGAGGCGTCGCGGCCCTTGGAACTGGATGAATTTATCGAGCTCGTCTGCCAGACTCATACTGAGGGCCCCACAGCCCTTCTCGCTTCCTCATCGCAGGGCCACATCGCCCAGGCTGTAGATGGGCTCATCGGCGAGGGCCATGTGTTCGCCGTCGAAGAGGGACTCATACCTCTGGAGGAAATCGAGTCCACACCTAGCACGGGTCAGTGGATTGTGGACATGGCCACATTCGAGTTTTCTGTCAACTGCAAGTTTCCCATCGAGAAAGCGAACGTGGTAACATTGAAGGTCTCGGGCGACGAAAATGGGAGCAGGGAGGTGCATCCTAGTGAAAAGGTGGACACGTTGAGCGCAAGGCCGATGCACAAGACAGGCAGCATCACCTCAACCCTAACCATTACCATCCAGCGCGATGAGGAGGATAAACTATTAGAAGATAAAGAGCCAGACCCCATCTGGGAAGATAATGAAGCTATCTACGGTGACGTTCCTGCCGCCCTTTTTGGCAAGTGTAAGTGTTCGATCCATTCATCCGTCCAATAGTTGCTAGACTAATTTCCTTCTAGATGATGCCCGGACAGACCTGAGCAAGTTCAAGAACCCCAAGTCTCTATTGAAAGGAACATCCGAGAAGACGCTCCACGTCATGACCGGTGTTCGACTCCGCCGACCGGGCGACAAATTCTCCGACGATCCAGATGTCACCTATAAGGTCGAGTTGTTTCAGATTTCCAACATCAAACCCACGTATAAACTTCCCGAAAGTAAAGCACGCTCAGAGGTCCTCGAAGGAGTTCCGTGGCCAGATACGCCAGGTTCCAATAACTGGGAGACAGTGAGAAATAAATGGAAGAGCCCGGATGCTGGAGAGCGCGCGGGCCAACAGGCTACTGATCTATGGCAAGAGCTGGGTTTGACCCAGTTGGGCTGGGATACAGAGCGTATTAAGGGCTCTGATTCCACCTTTACCGGGTGTCAACCACAGAGACTTATCGACGACCTTGAGAAACATTATCTATGGGCACCGCTGCTGACTCGTGGATAGAGATTAGAGTTGACCAGGTTCCCCCGCTAAACACGAGCAGCTCAGGTAGCGATCACACCATCAATAGCAATGCCAGATAAAATAGTCTATTAGTGGCCTCATAAGGCCATGTTTATAAATGGTAGCGGTTCCCTTTTAAAGCACAAGCCGTCCAGGAGCACAAATTAATTAGAAGCTAGACGCTATTACCAGGACTGAATATCCAAACAATGTACTTGTAAAAGATATTATAGTTATCAACGTGATATATACCTTGCCAGTGGAGAAGACCTGTTCGCAGTCAAAGGAGATCTGTAATGGCATGGTTCGGACAAAACATTGGAATCCTGTTCACCGCGGAAAGGAAAATAATTGGTTGACTGGTACGTACTTGTACGTCTGGAATTGTGGAGTGCAGTGCATGCTAGAACCAGGAACACATCCAGTCAGATCTTAGGATAACAAGTGGGCTTCTGTGTTAACACAGCCCTGCTCTAATCTTGATATAACGGCTCCGTGTTAAATGAACTAGTAATATGGATCTGGCCTTCTAGATTGGACTAGTTCCACTGTTATGTACAATATAATGCCATTTCGATGAGTGGCGAGAGGCTGGCTTGATGACTATGGTCGGAACAGTGGATCCACTTGTGCCATGAGAGAAGGTATTCGGAGGTGAAGCCCCAGATTGATAACGAGTCTAACCTAATTTTTTGTCTTTCACTGAAAATCATGCCGACATCACTACCCTTGGCTGAATTCGAGGAGTCAATCCCTACCCTGAGCTCTTAGTGTAAGTGGATTTGACACTCGAGAGTGTCTGGAAAGCAGGTTAGAAACAAGGTAGATTGACATACAGGCATATGGAAGCCCTAGACATTGATATGTTTGTTCTTTGGTCCAAGAAATATTTTCATCGCATATGAGGAGGCATGCCTTTCATTTAGAAATCTAGATAATAGAATCATGGGCGATCAATGAACTATCTCAACCGCAGTATGTAAGTGACCGTATTGGCTCATGATTGCGCGGTTTTGTATCATTTTTGGCAGAGGATTCCTGTTAGCTGGAATCTTCCTTTACTTTCTTCTATACATATGCAAACAGTTGAAATACTTTCCATACTACATAGGCTTTAAAATGCCAAAGGTTGACTATATAACTTTCAGTGCTTATTTTAGATTTTATTTTAAGGTGTGATGACTAAAGTTAGAAAGGCAAGAACTAAAGAAAGAATATATAAGAATGATTTCGGCCATATCAACAAATTCATTACTCTTTCCTCGAAGGGCTCTTAGTTACTTTCGTTGCTAAGCTTGGATTTAACGGTAATCTCAGCAATGGCTTGACCGATCGTAACGGTATCCCCTTCTTCAACAAAGCGATGTTGTATAACGCCTGACTCGGGAGCATATACTTCTAATGCAACTTTCTCGGTTTCGATAAATGCTAGCACATCATGCTGTTCCACATAATCTCCTACTTTGTGGTTAAACGAATGCAACTTTCCCTCGTCCACGGATTCCCCACCCAGCGTGTCGATATGAACCGTGGCTTTAGAATTGAATCGCTGGGGAAGAATGCTGAAGGGCCGAAAGAGGTTCTTGCGCGAGGGAAAGGATGTAAAGCGATATGGTTGGTGATTATACAGTCTAGCTGGACTGCTTGCAACACATTTTCGGGGGAGATTGAACTGAAGAACTGAATTATAGAGATTCAGTGATCTCCTTGATGACTTCAATGCCATAGTGTGAAGATGCAGAGAAGATGAATAACGCCAAGCACTGCAATACTGTTAAATTTAACTTCCTTGTTCCATCAAGAAAGGGGTCTGACTGTTATATACCTGACCGCACCAAATCCGTACTCAACCCACAGTAGTTTGAAAGGTGAAGTATTTAAACTCCCAGGCATGCTGAAGATCCCCCAACCCACGTGACTGAGCTTCAGCTGACTAGCCTGTATTTAGAATAGAAGAAATACATGGACTGTTAGCTGATGATCACGTGGCCACTAGCCTACCTAGCCAGGATTTATAGTGCACGCGCCTCCGTATATGATAGATCAATAAAACACACGCTCCGCTAGTATAATAACCTGGTGCCCTGAAACGAGGCACGAGTGAAGGGCTACTACCTTGCGCGAGCTACCCGCAAAGTTACGTGCGTTCATAACTGCAAATTCCTTGCCTATTCTCGCTGCTGGTTGGTCGATTTAGACCACTAAGACGTACTTCTCCTTCCGCCTTAGCTGTAAGGGTTCAAGGGCTTCATTCTGCTCTTCTCCATATGCTTCCCTCCATATAGAGGAAACGCAGACTAAAACCCAGACCTAATACAGGTATTGCTCAATTTTCAGGGGTTATCCTGTCTCGTTCATGGCATTCGGTCTTAACATATAGATACGTTCGGAGTATGATATTGTTGGAGGATGAAGCGTAGAAGTTATAACTAGATGATATGCCATGCAGATGGAATAAGAAGAACCTCCAATTACTTGAGAGCCCTCCGAGTGGTCCATTGTAAGCTTGTAGCCTTGGATTCTGTGGTGACTGCTTGATTACCATTAAACTGACTACTCCACATTATAGAATAGAAGATTCCTCTACTTGCACTTTTGATAAGATCTAGTTTTCATGAGGGGAGATTTAACAGACTAATAATCTACACCTTTCCAATGTCCAAAACATTCCCTATCAGTTGACCTGAGGTTTGATTAAATTGGACAATTGGATCTTGATCTCTACCTAGTTGACAAGCATTCTCAAAGAAGCGGAAAATTTCGTCTACTTCACAATCAACTTATCTCAGCCAAGGTCATCATTCACATGCTTCGATACCCTTAGATGTGGTTTCCTTCTGCATCGTACTTGACTTCCATGCCTGGATTTGGTTGAGAAACCAATCCCAACTGCTGCAGAGCCGTCAGAGCCTGCTCCTCGCCAATTTCATCCACGATCTTGCCCTTCTTCAGAGTAAAAATAGTTGTGCCCGAGAAATAGATTTCTTTACCGGTATTGGGCTTATCGAGCTGGCCTACCGCCAGATCATCAAAGGCGACACCGGTATGTCTACCACCACCGATCCAACGGCCAACAACATAATCACCCTCGGCAATTAGAGGGAACTTGTACGCGTGGAAGGAAATATCAGGGAATGCCTAGAAGGTATTAACTTTCTCGGAATTTTTTTTTTTTCAAATGCCATTCCAGATTATATCTCTCATACCTGTCTAAATTCAATGAGCATCTTCTTCGCCGCTTCTTTGCCACGGCGACGCCCGTGCATGGGATAATCGATGACGAAGTGATCATCACAAAGTTCATCAACGATATTCGCATTGCCCTTGCCCCAGTACTCCTCGAAGTATTTCTGGACCACGGCTTTGTTCTGGGCTTGGACGGTAGCCATAACTTTGGTTGATGTACCTCCCGGTGTGTTTTGATAACTTGATCTTGAGTAAAGGTATTTTTTTTTGGGTTGTATTCGCTTTCATCTTGGTAGAGGCAACCTTTATATATCTAACTCTGGCGCTCATGTGTTGCATCTGAGAACGATTTGCTGCGAAATTGACCAATCATGCCACCCGTTGAGTGACGTTCATTGAATTTCATCTCTGATCTTAAATTAACCAATGAGAGACGATGTTGAGACAAAGAGTTTCGCCCCACCGCGGAAGGTATGCGTTCGGATTGGGTGATTCAATAGTAGCAACTGAACAAGGGCTGGAAATGATTGGTCAGCTTTTGAGAAATCTGCACTGGGTCGTCTTCCGATTGGTCATATCCCCAGCATCTGAAAGCCGCGTTCTACAGCATTGTATGTAAAACGTGCGTCTTGATTCAACCTCTTCCATTGAATTTCTAACTTTTCATAACGCAACATGCCTGAGTTTACTGTTTTCAAGGGGTCCCAGAATGGAAAAATCGTGGAATGTCGGACCCGACGCCCTGGTCCCATAGGGGATGAAGTACTCGTCCGGATTACGCATTCTGGTCTTTGTGGAACCGATGAACCCAACACAGACAAAGCTTTTAAGTGGAAATAAACTTTTCAGATTTTCATATAGCCCCGCGGAGATAATTACGGCCACGGCCAATTGCCCAGCACATTACTCTATAGCATGTGTTACCTATTTGTGCAGAGGCGATATCTAGGTAGTGCATTCGTAGCGCAACGTATGCATATCAATATGTAGGTGTCGTGAGTATGAGGCCCTGCCTGCCTAAGCACAGGACGGTAAAGCATGGAACGGGGTAACTCGAATGGAATATTTGATGGGACATATGAATACAAATTTTATCAGATGATATAACACTTAAAACAGCTATGTATGCAGGAAAAAGGGAGCAGATGTATTTCATGTATATAACAACTGGGTTAAAATTCACTCGTTTCATGCATGCCCTAGCCCCTGCGGGAAATCGAACACCATATCCGGATCTGCGACAGCCTTGAGCGACTTCAAACGTTCTAGATTCTCACCATAGTATGCCTGTCCAAAATCAGCGAGATAGGGGTCAATATAATTTTGGTATGCGTGCCACTGGCCATTTGGTTTAGCTTGTTTGATAGCGTCTGCAATGTTGGTAACTTTCTTCAGTCCTTCTTCATGGGCATCTGTATTGTTGAAGCCAGGGAACTTATTTGAGAAGATTTGGACAAGGAACAAACTATCTCGATGGATAAAGGATGTATCACCAGATGTTGGTCGAAGGCTCGTTCTTGAGCCTGGTCCATTCAAATCAAAAGATACATGGCTTTGTGTATCTTTGACGACCTTTGCGTCCTGAATAGCGCCTATGATGAGCTCTGCATGAGAAATTGTATAGCTAGGGGCGCCGTCGTCCACCAGGGACTGAGCGTAATATGGCTGAGGTATACTGGGCGCATCCAACGAGCCCATCAGATCGGTGAGAGCGGGGATCCAGTCATTGAATTCTCTGATGTAGGACGTAGAGTTGACGGGCTTTACTCCGCGGTCTGCAAGTTTGCTCAACAATTTATCGAGTGCCGGTAGAAATTCGGCGCGTTCTCCCAAATACTGCCCAGTAAAAGAGCAAATATTCCCGGCATCAGCGTCAGATATAACGACCTCGCCTCCCAGCTCGACCGGAAGACCATCAAAATTATTGGCAGGGATAGAACCAAGCTCCTGGACTGCCAGTAGCACTTGGGCACAGTCAGACTTGGACGAGAAACTGATTCCATAGTTCACAACTGCAGTAGGGGCTGTTTCCAACACATACGTAAAAGATGTTACGATGCCGAAATTGTTAGCCCCAGCTCCTCTTAATGCCCACCATAGCTCCGCATCCATCCCTACCGAGCTAGAGTTTAGTAACTTGATATTCCCTTTAATATCGACGAATTCTAGCGACACAACTAACAGCAAAGTTAACATGCTGCTCTTTGTGCGTGTAAAGTTTTTGCCATATCCTATCACACTTACTACGGTCAACAAGCCAACCCCATTTCCGCGACGTGAACCCATAACCACCACCTAAGGAATGCCCTGCAATTCCAACTCCGGGACAGGTCCCGTGTGGCAGGGCATATCCTTTCTGACCCATTGCAACTGCCAACGGACCCAAGGTTTGACCAAATTGCACAGTAACTTCCATTTTGTCGTCGTCGAAACTTGTCTCCAGCATCTGACTGGAATCGATGACAACCTCACCCGAGAAACCGTATGCAGCATAGCTATGGCCTCCTCCCCGAGTACTGAGCTTGACATTCCCTTTCTCAGCACCCACACAGCGTACGCTAGATGCCACCTCCTCCGATGACGTGGGTATCACGATAACCTTTGGATGCGGCTGATAGTTTGCATTCTGCGGACGGGATAGTGCATCATAGTTCAAGCTTCCGGGGTACTCCACGGTCGCTCCTGTATTGTTTAGACATTGTTGTAGCGAGACCGGGAGAGCCAGACTATCCGCGAATGCAATCGCACGGGTAGGTGAGAAGCCGAGTGCGCATGTCAGTATTAAAGCTAGTTGCTTTTTTGACATCGCCTTTTAGCTTCAGTGGCCCACGCACAACGATGTGCTGTGGACTGCAGCAGAGAGGCTTATGGTATGTTCGATATGTTTAAGTTTGATCCGCTAAGCCAACTTATATCCGGCAATGACAGCTCTTCGCAGTACTTTTACCACTGGTATTTTGCGCGGAAAGGGATTAATAAATTCGAGAAAAACCCTTGGAATCTCAAACGCGCAGATTCGGCTGTGACAATTGTGATTGCCATTGATTTAGGGGCTGTATGCAAGGGGGCGCATACCAAGCAACCCCCTGAAAAATGCAATGTGATCTATCATCATGACCGGTGTCTACATACAGAGAATGGAAACACAAATGTTGATCAATAAGATTTGAACTTTTTTAGAAGTCCAAAATGTATGTGAACTGATACAAGATGTATACGGTGGACTAACACGACTTCGATCGACTAACTTTAACCTCCTGAATGTTTTGGCTATCGCACCCTCTGGTAAACCCCTTCTTAATTAAAAACCGGTGATATGTATTAGGGAGCTGTGCTGCTTGTACTAAGGTTGAAACTTCTCTTTCTGTAGAATGACATTCGAAGTGTCATTACATTGGTGTACCATTGTCTACTGACCTAGGGCTTCACAGATTGCCAAATATCACACTGTGCATGGTTGCCTTGGTCTAATACTAGCTTCAATATGTGGGCGTGGGTTTAGAACAATCTTCCAGGATATATTAGAGGTGTATAGCCCGCAAACCAAAACCAAAAGGTCAAACTCGCCCATCACGACTCCGTATACACTAGATTTGGCCCGTCAAGTACACTGGATACTTATTCCTAAACTCGGGATTTTACCAGAGAAGGGGACAACTTAAACTATTTGAGAACAGATCTAGGTAGAGAGGGAAGAGGGAAGATTCAGTCATATACTATGCTATGCTTTTATTCAGTTAATAATAGACACTTTCATATCTTCTTGCTTCTATGTCCTTACCTAGTTGAAAGGCTATATACCTTGTATGGCAGAGCCTCCGTTACATCGCTCATTGGGTAAAAGGATAAATGTCTAGCATTTATCAGTCTCATCTCTTTGAGAACAACCTTAGAAGTATTCAACGTCATACTAAAGATTACAATGTCTGAGTGCAATAGAAAAAGGATTTCTTGGTCTAAGGAGCTAGAAAAACATTGCTACTCTGTTGTACTCGTCACAGAACCGAGGAGGGACGCGCGATCGTGCTTAGATCAATACTATATGACCTAATGATCCATGTAGTTCTGGAAATAAACGAGACCATATGAGTGAGCCGTTGATATCGCCCTAAGACTGGCAGACTATTGGCTAGCTATGTCTGGGATACAGAGAAGGTGATGGACAGTCATTTCACAGCAATGTATCGGAGGACCTATTGATCAATGCAGAGACTTCACGAGTCATCCACATAAAGCTTGATGACATAACCGCTTATCCAGATTTCTGCTCCCGAAGATACGACAATCCCCATCATTTCTTCCCACTGGAAGGAGTATAAGTCGATCCGCCCTTGCCATCATTGTAATAGGTGCTACCGTTGGAGTTGGAGTAATAGTAGGATCCGTTGCTAAAGTGTGTTAGCTGGATACCTGAATTTTTGAGAAGTATATTGACCTGTTGGAGTAGTGGTATGCATCGCCGCGACCAGAACCGTTCGAATCCGACCCAGTGCCGTAGTCACGCGAGCAATAGTGATTGCCCTGGATTCAAAGGATATCAGTAAGCTGCTGAGGTTGGATATTATGGCTAAGAAAAGGATGATGAAGGGGGGGGGGCGTACCTGGCTGTTCGTGCCAGAGCCGGTGTATGAGTAACCTTTGCCAGAGCTCGACATGATTACTTCTGAAAACAGAGTGACCAGAGATTGGAAAGTTTGTGAAGAAGGTGGATATGGTGGAGTAACAAGAGATGGGAGAGATTGTGAGAAAGGTTGGATATGGGAGTAGCAAGAAAGTAGGACGTGGTCTGGGGCATGACGTGGTTTAAATTCGGTCAAAAGTGCCCCCGCACGCCACTTGCCTAAATGAACCAGGCGCTTAAGCTCTTTGTGTTTGCATGTTGTACAAAGACCAATCTAGCCCTTGACGGCTTGAAACCTACCGTAGGATAGATATATGAGTGGCTACCGGGTCTTCAAGCCAGAAAGCTCTAGTGGATATTATTCATCTAAATAATTGGTTATTAGAAATACTGCGAAGAAATAACCGCACGAGCCCCTGTGGCTCTTGGATGTACTACTCTCCAGTAAGAGATACGAGTGTCCCTTCCGGCATCCGATGGGATATCGTCTTTTCTTTTGCATGGCTTGCACTGCTTGACTTCTTGACGACAGAATAAACATCCATTTTACATATGAATTATTCTCGGAGGCGTAATCAATGAAAAATACCCTCCAACATCTCACCTCCTTGAATTTCCAAGATTGGAACTAAACCGGAACAGCAGTCTGTTCAGATATGGAACCCACATTCTTCGGAGGTGTTTGACCCAAAAGCACCGTCGGAGACCAATTGTAGGTGATACTTTTCCTTTCTGCGGAGAGTAGATGGTGGAGAGCAATTTCGTGCTCCAGAATTCCCCCCGATGGACAAGACTGGCGGAGACCCTGGAGGATCTCATGGAGTGCCAGGAGATGCGTATTGGTGCATATGTTCATCAAATTATTCTGGAACTGCTGTCTTTGGAACTCGATGAGGCGGAAGCCAATCTGCTTCACTCGTTTGGGAAGATTAGGTACCCAGCTTGATACTGTAAGTTTGACTGTTATCCTTCACATGGCAGTGGGTCCTAGATACTTACCTGTAATCAAGACTAACTTGACCGAACACTTTATTCATTCCTGCCTCGAATTGCTTGGCTTTTTCGCCTAGAACCACCTGATGGGTTATGTCTACCTCTTCCCATTGAACAAATCCACCGGGTTCTGCGAATGTAGAATATCAGTGTGTATTCTAGGTTTTAAAAGCTAGATGAGTCTTAAGTTACTCAACAGCTGCATGACATGGCGGAGGATGGTGCCGGAATCCCGGTCTCGGAAGTTACTCTCGCCCACATGCCAAGGTGGACCACATCATACCGACCAACAAGAGCCGCTGGTGGATCGACAAAAGAATCCATGATATCAAATCGAAGGTTAGGTAGGCACTGCTCCTTAAGAGGAAATTGCTCATCGGAGATATCGAATCCATATAGCTGAGTGCTCGGTTGGAGGTATTTTGTTGCTTCAAAGAGCCAGATTCTATATACCGTTAGAAGTGAGTATCTCTAAGATAAAACATACATACTTCGTTCCAGTTCCAAGCTCTGCAATCCTCATGTCATCAGTGACGGGAATACGAGGGTGGAGTATATAGCCTGTGTGAAGCCTCCAGAGTAAATTCTGGGCGTCCAAACTAATAGTTCAGGTTAGCCTTTTTTTTCTTTTCTTTTTTTTCCCCTCCCATAGAGTTATTTGGGTCTTCAAAATTAAAAACATGAACCTGAACAGACCGGCCTGAGTGGAATATATCCCGACCTAATGGGTAGTTGTCTGATTCAGCCATCCTGTATATTCATAGTGGTGGACTTCAGAGGTAACAGGCGAGGTTTATATAGTAGTTGGAAGAACTGGATGCTGCGTCACTCATTCATTGCACCTGCATCTGTCATAATATAGAACCTTATCAGCACCTTCTAGTATTGTAAATCTTACTATATATACTAAAATATGCGAGATGGCACTCGGTAATAATATCTGACTTTCTGACTCGGCGTATCAAGGGAAATCCGGTAAAAAGAATAACGTCATACATGCCAACCTTTATGCTTATATTACCCGGCATATTAGACTGGAAATTGGAAGAAGTTGCGGTACGGTACCGACATTTATATGTCAAAAAGCAGGGATGATTATATGCATTTTCGTCCGACAGGGAGACCTCCAGTCATTCTTGGGAATGCATTACCCTACAGCTGCATTAGTATTACGTACCACGCGAATAGCTAAATTCATCATCTAAGTTTTCCTGCACTCGATTTGAGAATGAAGCCGATCTATCGACGTATCCAGAAATAAACAAATCCAATATTCAAGAATAAGAGTCCGTACAGAGCGACATCAAATATCAAGACCAGCGACTCCAACCCTGGAATACCTGAAAGGAAGGCGTCGAAGGCTGAACCTAAACTCTAAAATTGGAATGTAAACCATCTCATCCACGCGTTCTGCGATAATCCTTTCTAAGTCTGCCGTGAGTTTCCGAAAGTAGGCATCGTAAGTGATATACAAACTCGATCCTTCTCCGCATGTTTAACGTAATACAAAACTCTCTCGTAATCCGGTAGTTGATATATATTACAGGTAGAGTTTTCAAAACGGAATCACCCTTATTTACCTGTCATAGGCCATCACGATGCTTTTTCTATCCTACAGATCGCACGCAAAGGGTATATAAACCCTTCTCTCTCTGTCATCGTTGAAAGTTCCCCAGGCAATTTCCCTAATAATACCGCCGAATAATTTATACCCTAAGCCTGGGTATCCTGCCGTCCTCATAAAATGACGGTTCTTCCCACCTCCACTATTTTGCGGCCTGGTCCCCCAGACGCCCTACAAAGAGTTGCAACTGCTTTATCGAAACTCAAGTCCGATGACTATTATGCATACGAGCGCACAGGTATTTGGTATTTGGGTATTGGAAATCGCTCTTCAGTGACAACTGACTCCGAAGGGCGGGATGCAACCTTTTCTGCCAACGGAAAGGATGAAGTGCGATGCATCGATGGTGGAGTTAGCGATGTTGTGCGAGAATACATCTCAGCAAATAAGGACTGCGCAACCAGAATCTATGGTTATGTCGGGTTTAGCTATGCCCTACTTCTCCGGGACATTCCTCACACTGCTGGAAAATGGCCAATGCTGAGTCTTATGGTCCCACGTACTGAGATAGTCTTTTATCCAGATAGAATTACGCTCATTGGAAGTCGACCGCCGAGAGATGGAGGAACTCTGTGTGTTGGTCAATGATGACACTTGCATTAACCCATCACCAGGCCTGGCCTTGGACACGAATACCAGAGAAGCTGAATATGTGGAACAAGTCGAGGCTGCGTTGGCAGATATAAGAGCAGCGAAGTATAGGAAAGTTATTCCGTGTCGTGCTGTGAGTCTTCCATGCAGAGTGGACATGCCTGCAACCTTGCTGTGTGGACGACAACATAACAACCCCGCCCGCTCATTCTGTCTGCGTCATGGCAGCAATCAAGCTACTGGATTCAGCCCGGAGCTTGTCATGTCCCTGCGAGGCGGTAAATTAACGACTGAGCCGCTTGCTGGAACTCGGTCGCAGGAGGAGGCCAGTGATGAATCCAAAAGGCTCAAGGAGGCATTACTTAGCGACCTGAAGGAAATTGTGGAACATGTGTTGTCGGGTGAAAGAGGTAATAAGTGAATTGAACAGGTTATGCTGTCATGGCACTGTAGTTGTGGACGACCTGATGTCTGTGCGGCCTCGCGGGAGTGTGCAACACCTGGGCTCGAGTGTGTCGGGTACTCTGTCGCCTGACAAGGATGCATGGGATGCTTTTAATATCTTGTTCCATTCGATTACCGCTACTGGAATCCCAAAGCAAGCTGCACTGGAAAGTATTGGGCGTCTTGAGAAGCACCCCCGTGAGCTTTATCCAGGCGCAATTTTACTGATAGAGGATCCTGAAACCTGGGATGTCGCACTTGTCCTTCGAACGCTTTTCCAGGGACAAGAAATGCCATGGATTCAAGCTGGAGCAGGCATCGTTGCTCAGTCATCGCCTGTATGAGAACTGACCGAAACTTATGAGAAACTGGCCAGTATTGCTCCGTATGGTGTTGCTGAACGAAATCAGATGGGCTGAACTTTCGTAGAAGGACTTTAAATAGCGCTGATATACGATTTACTATTTTTGGGACGTGCTTTCTTGAATGCCCACGCTTGCGTGCCTATTATAAATTCGTACAAGTATCTATCTGTGAAGATGTTCCTGGTGGAATAGATCAGTGGTATACTTAATGTTGGCCGCATTGATCGGTTGGAGGCACGACCAAATGCCTAAGGTATTTTGGCCAGCAGCTGACTGCTATGACTGTAAGGTGTACATCCTCCAAAAATATTGCTATCCTGACTTTAATAGACCTACCGAACAAAAAACTACGAGCAACTCCCCGCTTACCCTTCTGGTTCTAGTAGGTGAGCAGTGCCGTCCTGAGCTCGCGCGACAAGGATCAGGCCGGTCGACGTCCAGCTCATATACTTTCTTCCACTCATCACTGGTGTTGCAGAGAAGTTCAGGGGATCTGGTAGATGTAATACCTGGCTCGTCAAATGGTAGGCTTCGGATGCGATACGGACGGGTGAGAGTCAGGGTCTTGGCAGGTAAATCACATAAATGTCTGGGGCCCCCATCATTCATTTATTCATCGGCAGAATCAAGAATTAGCGTCCGCGAGGCTGAATATTTCGTTAGATGCACCTCCATCGAAGGAATTACAATTTTGGGCATCAATGAGGCTGTGTACGAATTGTAAGCTGCCTAAAGGGATATGTGTATATAATATTAATCGTCCTGCTATACACGCACATTTTTGATCCACCCACAAAGATAATTTGAAGCATCATGGCCCCTTCATTGTCTGATGATCTCCCGTCACAGAGTGCCATACTTGAGCTTCAACGAGAACTTATTTCATTGCTGCGTTGTCCGATAGAAACACCGAAAACAACTAAAGCACCAAAAAAAAAGAAAAAAAACAACAAGATCAAGGACAACCATCCAAAAGCTTCACACTTTTTTTGATAATCATTATCTCGACTTAAACTTCGAGATAGGTGGCGTATCACCTTTGTCACTGGCCATAAAAGAATCCAATGTACTTCATATATTATTGCAGCGCGAAAATGTGGATGTCAATTTTCGCCTTCATGACGGTCGAACATGCCTTTTTGCGGCCGTTGAGGCCGCAAAGCTGGAATCGCTTAAACTCCTGATACAAAATGGAGCCCTGGTCAACCATAAAGACAACGAAGGTCGCAGCCCATTAGCACTGGCAGCAGAGCTCGGGCGCTACGACCATGTGAAGGTCCTCGTCGAGGCGAATGCGGATATTGGCTCCACAGATGAGCAGATGTATACTCCAATGACCAGGGCAATTTTGGAGCAAAGGAACGAAGTGCTAGAATATTTGCTCTCCAAAATTGTTGGATCCCCAACATATCACGACTGCCATGGCCGAACACCATTGATTATTGCCGCGGAGGTTGGAAACGTCCCCGGAATGAGGCTTTTGCTTAAGACGAAAACTTCGGGTGATCTATTCAACGAAACCGAACGCAGTCTGTTGGTTTGGGCAATCGTTCATCGAGATATTCCCACAGTTCAGCTGCTGCTAGAAGCTGATCTTAGCCTTGTCAATCAGCGCGTGAAAGGCAGAACACCGCTATCACTGGCAGCAGAGACTGGAGATGTCAGAATTATGGGACAACTTATTGATGCTGGTGCGGACCTTGACGAAGCCGATGAGAAAACATGGCCTCCCCTGAGTAGGCTGCTGTCATTTCAAAATTACATACCTGACCAATCTGCCTTGCTGGACATTGACAATCATGTCTCTGACCATATTGAAACGTGCCAAACGCCATTACACTTGACTGTAAAGTTCTACCACCTGGAGGGCTTAGAACTTCTTCTCAAGTCAGGTGCGGATGCCAATATCAAGGACACAAAAGGGCGCACAGCACTAGCTTGGGCTGTTGATCAACGCTACAAGACAGCGGTTGAAGCTCTTGCCAACGCCCCAGATGTCGAGGTTGATTGCCACGATGTGCACTGTCAAACTCCATTTGCAATGGCAGCCCGGCTTGGGGAAGTAGACATCCTGAAAAGCCTCTTCGATTTACGGGCCAATATCAACTCAGAAGACATACAGCGAATGACACCGCTTGCATGGGCCGTTATGAAGGGACAGAAAAGTGTGGTTGAGTTTCTGCTCGAATTGCCAGGAATCGGGGTGGATCAACCTAATATTGATGGCCGAACTCCATTTTCTCTAGCAGCCGAGCGGGGATTCGTGCCAATAATGCAATTACTCCTGGGCAAGCAGGCAGACCCCCACAAAGTTGACAATCACGGCTATACAGCCTTTTGGTGGTTTTTAAAGACAAGAGACAGGCCTGAGCCTCGACTGTTCAATTCCGCCACCGGGAATCCTTTTGATCTTCGGATTTTGATTAGCAACTTACCAACGCCCAACAGAAAGGACAAATCAGGGCGCAATTGGCTCTCATGGGCGGCATCCTATGGGGATATAGAAGTTGTGGACGCCTTATTAAAAATTAAAACAGTTGATGTCAATATAAGAGATGGTCCTCAGGGGTTGTTCTCTCGGACCCCACTGATCTGGGCCTTGGAGAAAGGAGAAAGACTTGTGATAGATTTGTTGAAAAAGGATGACGACATGTCACTGCATCTGCTAGTTAAAGAGGCAAGATCCGTCTGGCAGTATAGAGCGTTGCAGCTGATAAACGCACTGATTCAAGCAGAATATAACGTGAACCAGCGTGATTTAGAAGGGCGAACACCTCTCCACCTTGCCTGTCTGGCGGCTGATGGGGATGTTGTTTTGGACCTGATCAATGCAGGGGCTGAAATGAACTGCAAAGACCATGCTGAAAAGATCCCTTTACAATAAGCCCTGGAAATGGGATGCAAGAAGGTCGTACAGTTATTAGTTATTACTTAATGCTTCCGTCAGCTGACCTCAAACCCGTCCTTTCAGACGAGTGGTTTAATCTAGGACCAAAAAGGGCGTCTTGGATCCAGATCACGAAAAGAGCCCATAGCTTGGGCTTTGACTTCGAATTGATCAATGATACATATTGTGATTGGCTTCCTGAGCCAAAAGAATCCAGACTGTGGTAAGTGCGCTTGTTTTTAAAGAAACTCCACCTGCTCACTGACTCAGTATATGCAAGAAAGGTTCAATTTGGGGACAATTACCAAAGATCTTTGGTGTCCGTAGCTCGCTGGAAGACCAGAATGAGTACTTCAGGTACTTCCACGAGGAACGTGGACAGTTTGTCGTTACCTACCTGTCTTTGAACTTTCCCGAGGATTATCATGGTGAAGCTGTATACCCGTGGGGCATTTCTTGGGTGAGAAAGCAAACCACAGAAGGCTTTGCACATGGGTTTATTAGCATGCTTCCAAATGGCTGTGTGCCGCATAATCCATTTGACCTTTTCAAACAATTCCTGGACCATCTTCATCAAGAATGGAATAAATCTTGCTTGAGATTGACAGATCGAGTAGAAGAATTGGTAGGTTGACGAACAATGTGACTTCACTAAATTACTCATCCGGACTGACTTGCTGGTTCACCCTAAGCGGCGTGATCAGGTAAAATATAAAGGGGTGAGCCATGAGCTTATAGACTGCTTAGCCCAAGCTTCGCAAAGTCGTGCGCATCTTTCCAAGTGTCTACACTCACATATCGAGGGTATTAATGATATCATCAATACTAACACCTCATTTGACCTGGAGGAGAAATCACGGTTAGCAACAGATATGGGGGTTATTGAAAAAAGATTGATGTCAAAACTGAGCCATTCAGAACAGAGTTTACGCGAATTATTACAGATCGTACGTATGCGGAAAGCTTCGGACGCCAAATACTAATGATGGGTTAACAGGAGCTTGCCTGGGTTTCGAGGAACGAGTCTGCCAGTGTCAAGCGTCTTAGCTGGCTCACTGTGAGCAATATCCCATTAAATCTATGCGTCTTGATAACATTCAACTGGACAGTTCGTTTTCCTGCCGCCGATGTTTGTCTCGGTAAGTTACCCCGAGCCCCTGCCTCGTTTAAAGCTGTTGTCTAACTTCCCAATTAGAGTCTCTTTGGGATGAACGTTAATCTCCTCGAGAATAATCCAGACTGGCGATGGTACATATTATTCGGGGCTTTTGTCATTTGTTTTCACCGGGGCATTGTGGCTGATCTCCAAGGCTCTTTCTGTAAGAATCTCAGTCCTTAAGTATCCAACACGTTGAAAGGCTTACCTAATATCCTCTGCTTTTCCCTGGCACAGAAAGGTCTAAGCACGAATTATCCACGTAATAATGGGTTATTCGGAAGGGCCCATACCAGTGTATGATAGGCCGACAAGCGTGGTGCAATACTAAAGGCTCTGCTTCCTAATTCCTATGCCAACGCCGCTGTGGGGGCCAATGGTGAAGCCTTGGAGTGAAGATGAACGGGTTTGAGAAGTTTGGGAGTACGACAGTTCTCGTATTAAGAGAGACACATCCATAAGATATATGCATCAAATTATCCGTTTTACAAATGCATGTTTCCGCCGGAGCTGACACTAATGATTGGAAATGTAATATTTTGTGTGTGTGTGTGTGTGTGTGTGTGTATGTGCCTTAACATAGTCTGGTACAGCTAACACTAAATTCTCTATTGATCCTAAATAAATATCCAAGAGAAATTATGCCTTTCTTCTACAACATTGATTTTACACTCAGGCTGGGGTCATTGTCTCAATCATAGTCAACTGAGACATACTTAAATACTCGAATCTGCGGCATATGCAGATGGGCAGATACTCACTATGGGGAGCTTGTAGCTATTTGTTGACCATTGACATGGTGTCTAACCCGGTACACTCCTCCCCTAAAAGAAATAAACGACCATCCTCTCGTATATACTCGCACGAGCCTCTATGACTCTTGGCCGTATTACTCTGCTGGCCGTCGTTGACAGCTTGGCGAGTATCACGAGGCCCTCGTTACTCCACATTAGTTGTCAACTGGTATTTCACGTCCTATGAGTATGTAGAACTATTATTGCCATGGAAAAATGCTCCAGAAAGGTTAACTAATCTCTAACGGCTATTAGAGCGATTGCTCACAGTTTAGCGTTGGCACTAAGGCCAAGACGTTGGTTGAGTTGATATGTATAAACCTTAGCTTCCCAGTGCAGCAACGGTTCCCGCCCTACCCACTTCCTCGGCACGTCCCTCCCCTGAGTAACCTCCCTCCAGTCCTCCCTCTCTCGCTCGGGCCAATTCTTTACAAAATACTCATTGCCAGGCGTATCCTGGTCGGTAAAGTTAGCCACCACGACCACCGGCGCCTGACCTTGTGCTCCCCTCTTCCACGCCATGATCTTCCCCGCACGGCTCTCATCCACATGAATGAACTGCGTATCATCAACCCCTAGAGCCGGGCATTCCTTTCTCAACCTCACAAGGGTCGCAACATAATTAAAGACCCTCGCCCTCCAGTCCTGTGCCTTTCGCTCATAGTTCACTGGGTCAACTTGTTTCAACCCTACCGGACGATCCATTTGATCACAAAATTCCTCGCCGGCAAAAATCATCGGAATACCGACGGCCGTCAAGAGACAAGCAAATGCGAGTTTACTTCGTCGCTCAATATCATGGACGTTACTGGCGGAAAGAAAGTTGAAAAGACGCTCTTTCCGGAATCCTTCGGTATCATGGGAGGTGATATAGTTTATTGCTTGTTCGCCGTCTGTGAAAGGGTGTGACTGGTCAAGCGTGCAGTTGATCATTTTACGGACCGTCCATTCGAAGTTGTCACCATCTTTGGATTCGCCGAGGATGGCTGCGCGGAGACGTCCTTGAAACGGCTCATTCCAGAGTGCATTGACAGTGCGGCTAGTGACCATGTCGACGGGAACGCTGAGTTCTTCGCCGATGACAAGGAATTTAGAGGAGACCGGCGTCGCATATCTTGAGTTGTAGAGAGACCATGCCTCATTCGTATACGATTTGATGAAGTCGAAATTAGCGATATTGTTTAGGCTGTCGATCCTGAAACCGCCTATCCCGAAGTCCGACATCCATCGATGAAGATGCCCATGATGGAAGGACCAGGAAGGGTGGACATTGGTGAGTCTGCCTGATTTTGGATCATAAGTATTGGTGTTTTTGATGTAGCGCCACAGTCGTCCACCCCATGCCTCTCGCAGTGCATTGGAGTGAGATTGGCGGATTTCCTCTAGATTGTTTGGCTCATCCTTCGGGTTCACGTGAAACTGCAGGAAAGCTATGTAGATATACGGATCGTGCCCAAAGGCCATCACGACATCTGTAAAGAGTCGGACACCCTTCGAGTGAATGTTCTCTACCAACTTTACTAACTCCGATGCAGTTCCAAGGTCAAAGTCCGGAGCGTAGTAGTGAGCCGTAGCATAACCCCATTCACCCTTTGGTTTTGCGTCCGCAGCAGGGAGCAGCTCCAGCGCGTTAATGCCCAGATCAGCTACAATGGCTTCATTGACAACAGGCGAAATATCCCTGAAACGATCACCCGCAGTGCCCAAATCGAATAGAGCGAGGACATCAGTGAAGGTGCCAATATCAACCTGCACATCCCCAACCTGTTTACCTTTTGCCCACGAAGCCGGGAGCTCATAGATCACCATGTGCCTGTTGTCCGGTATAGCATCTTGTGGTGGGGGTGCCACCTGGCCTGGCTCTTTCCCATCAATGTCGCAGGGCCATAGCTTGCCATCGCGGAACTTGATCACGGAAGCTGGTTGGACGTGCTTGTCCCGAGACACTGTGGCTCTGTAGTCGACTGTATGTGCAATTGGATCGGTTACCCGCAAGGTACCCCGATGCTCTGGTGACGAATCTTGGATCTCGAACCAGTAGTGATAGACAGTGCCATTCTTCAATGGCGGCTTTATGTCATTTAGATTGAGTTCCCAGAGATCTGGCTGGCCTGACCTCCTTAGCTGCCCGGTGAAAAATTCATTGATAGTAGCTGGAGGACCAAGCTCAAAAATTCCAAGCACCAATGAAGGGGGGTTTGAAGTTGGTCCAGCAGGTATCCAGAGGATAAATTTCTCTTTGCGGCGCTCAAGGAGATCGAAAGCCATTTTAAAATATGGTTGTTGGAAGCAACGGTGGATCGTGTCAGGTAGCACTGGGGGATTATGGAAGTACTTGATGTGGAAGAATGATCTGAATGCGAAAGAAAACAAAGAAAAAGGCCGCACAAACATAAAGAGCGAGGTTCTTATATTAATTTGGAGGTGAACTGGAAGGAAAGACTCAGAATGATCTGCGTCATTACGATGTAAGCTTCTGCGTCAAGCCCGCAATACACGGGATACAAGACCCCATGAGAAAGGAACTCTGAGACGATATCCTTGCTGGGTGCATTAAGCCACATGATGCACGTCGATCACCTGAGTCATTACTCTGCTGGATGAGATTCCTTGCTCCTGTATACAGAGTCGTCCTTTAGGCTTATCTGGCACCATGGTTGCTTCCTTCTTGCTTTCTCATTGGCTGCGCGTAGATTATGGTTTTCCTTCCCTAGTTCTATTTGCGTCTCGGCCATAATAAGTACCACATAGATGACATTGATGTTGATCAGGGTCTGCATATCAATGGCTTGAAAGTGTATTGCTACCCAGACTTTATGCGAGTCCATGCACCTTCCGAATAAATGGCTACTATGAACATCATTATGATGTAGCAACCCTGTAACGCTGCGGGTTATATAGGGCCACAGTAATAGTGGACATAGTATGACACTTTCCGCTTCCGGTGAATGAGGACAATGGGATTGTACTGCATTTGGAAAGTAAGGTATGTGGCCCAACAAGTTCACAGTCAATGATGAAATCATACCAAGCAATGTTACATCACTAAGAAAGTTAACTGCCATAATGCAGATCGCAAGTGCCACCTGGGTTAAGCACCGTTGATTTTGGAGTTTTAATGCTGGTTTTTACTTCATATGGGGATATAAATACTACGAAGATAAACAGATTGATTACCTTCATCCCTTCCTATTCTGCGTATATGCGTTTCCATACAATTTGTGATTAGAACGGACAAGCTGACAGTCTCTGGCATCCTATCTAGTCACGAATAGCTATCTCCCCACTAACTTGGCTCTCTCTTATGATACTGTTGCTCTATTGCGCAAGGAGTCTTATATTAGCCCTGCCTACAAACTGACAGGTACTACATACCCCTCTCGCGCTCCCAGTCTGCCATGGCCGCCAACCTTGTCTTCCCAACGCAGGGAGTGCCCAATATGATGCCTGATTATGAAGTTAGGCTCCAGCTTAACCCAGATGCTGTCCTTGGCCCCGACCACAAACTAACAAGCACTGTCCTATCGACCTTTGGTATACCCCAGAGCAACCCGACCAACCCGACCAACCCGACCAACCCGACTAAGTTAAATGTCCAGTTCCTAGATACGAGCTGCAAGGAGCTCTATACCGCAGGCTGGAGTGCCCGCATACGCAAGACCGAGAATGAGGACGACTTTGAGCTGACTTATAAGAAGCGGTATCCTATCACAGACGGCGACATTGACGCTGCTCTTGTTGCAGCTAATAACGATGATTTCAACGCTGCCAGCACGAAATATGAGGCGCAAGTTGAATGGGGCTACAAGAATCAAACACTCTCTATCAGCCACAAGAATTCCATAGCGGATTCAGAGAATAGCAGAATGAATCTGCCGGGGACGAGCAGATCTATTGAAATGCTGGTCAATGAAGCACCAGACAAGTTCGACAACTGGAGGCCCAACAATTGGGGTACCAGGACGTTGGCGGTATCACGCATTTTTGGCCCGGTCTGTGCCAGCCGCTGTGTTGGTACATGGAACCAGATGAAGCTATATCTCGAGGTTTGGCCCCTTATTAAGCTCAAAGGGGGTACGGAAATTGAGCACATTGTCGAGGCATCTTTTAAGACGAAGAGCCGCCAGAAAGCCGCAGATGAGAAGAACCATTTAGTCCACCACTTGGAGGAGATGCATTGGTTTCTGCCGCAAGACTGCCTAAAGACGCAGCTCATCATGCAGCGCTATTGATATGGATGGTTCTTGATCTGGTTCTTAGTGATGTATCATATATGTAGTCCATGTTTCCCATAAAAGTTACAGTTGCCTGCAGTTGCCCGTAGCCATACTTTAATGTGCACTCTTGAATCCATATTATCAAAGATTTTAATGCTGTGCTGGGGTTCGGTTATCACTAGAAATTTCTATGGAAGGGATAAATCAATGAAGGTCTGATCATTCTTAAATCCATACCCTATTCTGTGAACTTTGGCACTGTCGCCCGTTTTCCATACTGCAGATTAGAAGAATGCATTGGGAGGTTTAGTTATGGAATGTGGTTCGGGTTAGCAAGCTTAATTTTATAAGACTAACTATATAATAGTAATAACCCCACCCAACGTTCATAATTTCTTAGTGATAATATTAGTATTAAACTACGCTTTTTGATCTATATCTAATACTATAAATTTCCATCAAGATAGAGTATAGTAGTGGTGTTGATTTGATCCTCATGTGTCCTATGTAGAACCCCATTCCGTGGAATGGTCAAATCGTCATATGATATATTACTAATGACATTAAAGAATGGCTGGAAGATAGGTGCTGGGTACCACTCATCGAACCAGTGCGATAGAGGTCGAAGCCACTAAGTAAAATGCTGAAAGGCAAAAGAAAGGAAGTTCAGTAGGTCACTCCAATGATAAAGAGCAGAAAACATACTTCCCGTAAGTGGACAAAGAGCTGAGATTTGGGTTTAGTCGATTAGAACCTTAAAGAAGCGCCTGATGAAGTTCGTTGTAAATCCAAATAGGTTGTTGGCAGACACTGAAGCAATCTAGTAGGCATACGAGACTCGGTGTCCAAATCTTGATGCCAAGATAAGAAAGGTCACACGCATTAGTACTAATATCCCGATTTTAGACTGGTCCAGACGATTCCCTTGAAGTCTGAGTCAACCAGATCTTCGGTTACTACCGTGTGGTTCCAATGCTAACTATACGAAGTCATGTGAGTGCATAATGACATTTACATTCATCGTGAGGGCTTTTAACTTCTAGCGTGGGTTCATAATGGAAAAGCATAGCCGCCGTTTGCGGATTATATCCTAGATTAGCAGAAGTTTGTTCCCTCCACCTAGAAAATAAAGTTAATCAGTGTCCCGTGGCATACACTGACGTGTCCAAGCCTGTACCCATGGAAGCAGTAGTTCCGTTTCTGATATGCTCCAAGGGTCAGATAAACATTTGATCAAGGCCGCCAATTCCGCTCGAAATCCAGCCATGGTTTCCACTTTCTAACTTCTAGGCAGAGTTTCTGCACCAGTACTGGAAAATATCCACAAAAACAAAGAATTTAAAGAACCGTAAAGCACCCTATCTTATGCTTATGTTCCACTTGGCAGTCCTACACGTCTATGTAACGAGCTAGTGAATCTTCTATAGCTTATTCCCACAATGCAAGACCGCATTCACCTAGTGCGCCATGCGGAAGGTCTTCACAATTTGCGCAACGATCCCACAATCCCCGACGCTTCTTTGAGTGAACGAGGTTTTGATTTCGCGGAAGATCTAGGACATCGCTTTATCCGCGACTACTCAAACTGTGTCGGCGCAATCATATCCAGCCCGCTCCGCCGAACTATCCAAACATCCTTGGCAGCATTCCCCCGGATCTTGGACTCCACCCAGTATGCTGAAAGTTCCGGTGTGGGTGCTAATAAAGGAGTGATGTTAGCCCTAGATGCGAATTTGCAGGAAATTACCGACCTGCAATGTAATACGGGCTCCAAAGTGGATGCTCTAACAAAGGAATTCCCCGGACTCAAGTCAGAAATAGAACGTCTGGACAAGAACTGGCATAAAAAGGCAGGGCCTGACTCGCCCCTACCACAGCCTCTGTCTGAGAGAAGAGCTGCGATTCTCAACCGACTACAAAATACCCTGGCGGATTTGAAAAACAAACAAATGAGCGACGACATTATCGTTGTAACCCATCAAGGTGTAATTGCTCTACTTGCACCCACTGCAAATATTCCTGTGGGGCAGTGGCAGACCTTTCACTTGGTCGAAGAAAATGGGAAGCTTTTTCTGAAGTGAGGGTCGATTGTTATTTTAGGAAAACATCATCTTGAGAATGGCACCATCAGAATGAATGGGGCATATGGATAAGGCCATGCTAGGCAAGAACGTTCCAGTGAATAGGTATACTTGGCACTATTTGTCGAAGTCGAATACAACTGGGTCTGGATTGTGTGTTTTATTATATCATACCTCAATGACATGATTTCACTTTTTGTCTCGTGCTACAAAGACCGTACTTTCACCACTAGATGCTAGCTTTTGCAGCACGGCTCCTACGCGCCACTACGCTTTGCCCATCCTGCCAATGGGTGGTCTAGAAAAACGTAGTATTATTTGCAGAGCCATTTCCGGCTGCAGGGAGCCTTTGTCGACAAGTAACCCGTGAATCAGTTGCTCATTCGGGGAAGCCTTCTATTTGCGGCCGCGCCTCCGATGTGTCAGACATAAGTGCAAAATGGCCGGAGCATACTATCAGTGTTGCACAATATACATCCGTAGTATCAGGCCACATAACGAGTCTCCTGACTTTCGATTAGGTTTTAGTAGCATATATTGTTGATACAAAAATGCTGACTTGTGACTGGGTCCGCCAATCCTTGGTTAGTCTAGCGAGGGTTGGTCACCGGGAGGGCAATAAAGTGCCATTTTTATACAGTCCAACTTTAGTTCTTTGCCCTTATAGTACCTCCAGACTCTTTCTTTACAATCAATCGGTCGAGCGCTCAGGTGACTATGGTCGAAGCATTGAATAGAACGGTCTGGATCACACCAGAGATCATGATCATGGGGCAGTGAAATGCCCCGCCATCAATTACTCTCGCATTTCTGCCACCACCTGCCACTATATATAAAGGACAAACGACCACTCTACCTCATCTTTGTCTGCGAGCTTTCCAAGAGCCCCTCATTCTAACAACCTAAACCCATTTCAACTCAAGTCTTGGCTCAACATCATGTCCTTTGACAGAGACCCCAACGTTGAAGTTGTGCGTAAATATGATGGTGCAGTTCAAAGTCTAGACCATGCGCAACAGCCGTGGTCCCCTGAGACCTCTCTACAAGGTCTATCAGAACCTATAAGCGCTGCCCATCAATATCTTCGTAAGGTGGCCGATGACTACAAAATTCCTCATGGCGTCGTTGGTGAAACTCCCACCAAGTTGTCTGCTCCAGCCAGTCCCACAGACGCTCCGTTTGGCCTCCCCATAGCAGAAGAAAGAGAACGCTTTAAGAGCAAGGCGGTGACCTACCAGCAAACCTTGGGCGGGCTGCCTGTGTGGGACGCCAAGTTTAACATCACTGTAAACGAGGATAATCAGGTAGTCAACTCGTCCAGCAGCATCGACACAAAAGCCTCCAAACCAGAATTCCCCCCAGATGATGCTAAATACATGAAAGACGATGTTACAGCGGAGGATCTTGGCCAATTGTTAGCGCTTCCAGTAAGCAGCGGTGGAATCCACTTCAAAAAAGAGCAGAAGCAACAACGCCTTCTTGTCTATCGCTACTACACAGATGATAGGCAGGAGATATCTGGGCATTCTGCACCCACTTTAGTTTTACGTGAAGTCCCTGAGGCCATCAAAAATGGACAGTACTATGTGGTGAGAGAGGTCCTTTTCTCTCTCCCCATCTCTGGATATGGTGACCTCAACTGGAGAGCATTTATCGAAGTCAAGACGGTCTCTATTGTCTACTTGCGGGCGCTCACAGCTGGTTTAATTGGCTGGGTGTTTGCCCGAGACCCTGCTACAAAGCTAGGCCACAAAGCTCCCACAACAAGTGGCAGCATTGCTGACTTGAACCTGCTACGTGACAAAGTTTTGCTTCCTGACACTGTTACGACAACTCCTCAAGCTCTCCAGGGCAGATATGCTACAATCAAAGATTTCGATTTGCCTACGAGTCTACCCCCAACGACAGCCACTGGAGAATTCAATGATAGCGTTGAGACAGACAATTTTGCAGCTGTCAATGCATACTATCATATTGCAAAGCTCTTCAGACTTCTGGCTGAGCTGGGCTTTCCCATCAGAACCATATTCAATGACACCACATTCCCCGTCCCTATTGATCACCGTGGTTTCAACAACCAGGTAAATGCTCAAGCTCCAGGAAATGCAACTGGCAACGGCTCCGGAGGGTTTATCTTCGGTCGGGCTGATCCAAATGCGCAAATTGGTATTGCTGCGGATTTTCGCGTCGCTGCACACGAATTTGGCCATGCACTTCTGTGGGATGCTATTCACTGGCCAGGATTTGGTTTCGCTCACAGCCCTGGCGACTCGCTGGGTGCCATATACTGTGATCCTGGAAGTGATGCACAAGATCGATTTGATACATTTCCTTGGAGTGTTGTCCGTCGCCGCCATGACCGCGAAGTCACTGATGGCTGGGCATGGGATGGGCCCAAATACAGAGGAGATGGGCCCGCTAACTACCTTCGCGAGCAGATTCTATCAACCACTCTTTTTCGCCTCTACCGGGCCATTGGTGGAGATGCGATCGGTAATTTCCACAAGCAGAACTGGGCGTCAAGGTACACTCTGTATCTGATCATTGGTGGCATCGCTACCATCACAACAAGGGCCAGCATGCCGTACCAATATGTCTCTGCAATGATATTTGCGGACAATGGTACAGTGCTTGGCTATCCTGGTGGTGCTGTCAGGAAGATTGTCCGCTGGTCATTCGAGAAACAGGGCCTTTACCATCCTCTGAACACTCCCAACCCTGGGGTCATGACACGAGGGCCACCTCCGGCTGTGGACGTATACATCGACGACGGTCGAGATGGTGAGTATGACTATGCTCTGATGTCTGGCAGCCCACCTGGTGTCTGGAATCGCCAAGCTCCAGATCATGGTCTGGTCAACCAGGCTCCCATTGTCGGAGTTCCCAATTACTGTTATGTCGCGGTGAAGAACCGAGGAACACAGGACGCGCAGAACGTCCAAGTCACCGTATATGAGTCTAGGATCCCAGAGCCAATGATCTGGCCAGCCCACTTCCATGTACCGGGCACTGTTGTGCAATTTGGCGTGCCTATCCATGGAAACCGACTGCAAACTGCTACTGTCGGGCCATTCCAATGGACTCCCCAAGCACATCGCGCGTTTGATAGGCATAGCTTACTGGCCGCTGTCCGTGCGGACGGTGACCTCCCAAATACTGACACAAACAGTGGCTTGGCATGTGCAAACGGGCCCACGGATATCGATAGCCTCGTTCCATTTGATAACAATCTGGCAATGCGGCACTTTGAACGGTAGAGATTTCTCAGGCCATGCCTGAGGTACCACACAGCAGGAAACGAGATTCTGGAATAACGAAAAGCTAACAAATAGCAATCTTTTTGATCTGACCATCTCCCGTTATGCTGTTCCTTCGTATTATGCCTGCGGCGCTGAGTTTCAATATTGGCTAAAGTGTCTTGTACGAGAAAGTTGCGTGCTCGCATGGGAACTGCCTGACCTTGCACAATTTCAGAAGGTGCTGCATTTTCACAAATCCTTTGACTATTTCTGGCAGATGGTGAGTTCTGCTACGTCCTCTTGGCCGCGGACGAATGGCGGAGAGAAAGGGGAAAAAATGGGACGAGTGTTTGTCTATATTTTTGAGGTGTCTATTGCGAGAAAAGTTTGCTTTTTGCCATGGCTGGTCTATTTATTCTTTGTAGCCTAAAAGGAAAAACGAGATTACGCGAATGCGCGTCGTCTCACACAAACTTCTCTATCGCATGCACCGTAAAGCATAGTAACCAATTCTTACTCTTTCTATTTTGTCGGAGTCCAGTCAACTTCCTAGCCAGCTCTACATCTGCCTGTCGCTTCTGTATGCCAAGTTCAGTTCCTGCCGCGTCGCTTACGCTACGAAAATCCTGCCTGCGAATATCTTTTGTAGGTCTGCTGCAGGGTTTACACAGACAACCTAATCTTAGAATTTTGCTTAATTTTGCAGTTTTACTCATTCGTTAGGCCCAGGTGCGCAGCTCTGCTAGGTAGATATGTGGCTGCTTGTATCTTCCTTTGTACAGTTCCGTTTGAGGCCTGCCGATGAATTGCAGAACCTATGTTAAAATCTACTATCTTATAATTTATAACAAGAGTTATTCCAGGCAATGATTATTCTACTATAAATAAGGTACTGGTGGTTTAACAGGGTATTTAGAAAATCATATACGTTTTAATTATATAGAGCATTCAAATTTGTAAATAATTTATTTTGTTTTCAGTAATATATATTTCCTCCAATATTCTAAAAACAATAGGCCTCCCTTGTACGACTCTTCTTGTAGCCTGTTGGCCTACTATAATCTGAAGATGTACTGCTGGCCTAATTGTGTACACTAAAGGAGCCCTTAAATACTTATAAGATCATATCTCTCTAAACATATAAACGTCACGTTGAGACCGTTCATATGTTCACTGCGGGATTTTCTATGGGATCAGCTGGCCGTTATTGTCCAATACCTTTTCGAAACGCCAGTCGAGGCACCTACTTTGGGACATATGTGAGTGGCTATTGGACCTTCCAGCTGGAAAATAATATTATGGGTGTCATTCATGTTGGTGAGGTTTTGTTATAAATTCTGGAGTGATGCCCACACGAGCCCTTGGGGCTCCTTGTCGTACTACTTTAGGGTCAGTGACTGACAGCTTGGCGAATATCACGGGCCCCTCGTTACTCCACGTCATTTGCCAACTAGTATTTGACGTTCTATAAGCAATATAACTATAGTTGCCATGCAAAATACCTTAGAAAGATGGACTAATAAATAACGGCTATTTGGGGACAATTGCTCATATTTTAGTGTCGGTACCACAGCCAAGACGTTGATAGAGTTGATATGCTAAGAATAGCGAACATATTTAGCTAACCAGTATAGTTAAGCGTTTTTAGACGTGGCTGTGCCTAGGGCCTCGTATTTTTAGGGACTATGCAATGATCATAGCCATTTAAAGGTCCTAAGGGAGAAATGCAAGTGAAGATCAACGGCCAGTACGAACTCTAGCGAGACGCCAAGATCAGATCCTCGATGTATCGAGGGGATATATGTCGATCAATCAGTAGGCTGAACTCTTTTAAAAACACTGAATCGTGGGTGCAGTGGTCGATGTGCATCCGCAGCGCAAGATAGTGTCGATCACGGACCTTATCGCTGAGCCGACCTTCTTCTAGGGGCGGGCGATCTCGTGTTCAAGAAATATCGATCTTCGCGCTACTCGTATTTTCAACTACACTACGAGATCTTAGCGGGGAAGCAAAACTGTTCCCCACCGTAGGAGAATCATAAGAAGGCTTGCATATCTATGAATGAAACAAAATCACAACGGGCGAAACTCTCTTGAATACCACCAAAAATGTCTTCCTCCTACAAGCTCTTCGCAGTTCTTCTGCCAGCCCTTGCTGTCGCCTGCACTGGACCCCCTATCAACCAAAACGGTCTTAACCTGATCAAGAGCTTTGAATCATACGAACCCGAAGTTTACGACGATGGCTTTGGCAACCCGACCATCGGATATGGTCACCTCTGTGGCGATGCGACCTGCTCCGAGGTGACCTATCCCAAGCCACTCTCCGAGCCAGATGCTAGCAGACTGCTGGCTGATGATTTGGTTGTGAGTTACTACTGTGCAATATCCTAGCACATTTGAATGGCACGCTGACATGCGGAATATCAAATAGATCTATCAAGACGCCCTCACAAATGCCCTGGCGGACCCAGTAACATTGAATGATAACCAATACGCTGCCCTTGTTTCTTGGACATACAACATCGGCCAAGGCAACATGCGAAATTCAGACCTCGTCGCCCGTCTGAACAAGGGCGAGAAAGTGGTAGTTGTCGTGCATAACGAACTGCCGCAATGGAGATTGGCCAACGGACAAGTCGTCGAAGGGCTTGTTCGTCGCCGAGAAGCCGAGTTGAAGCTTTTCGATGCGCCGGCTATCTTTGGCGCTTTACCTGTCCCTTGTTGAACATTTGACCCCTGCAACTAAGCTGCGTGGTTGCATCTGAGATGGCCGGCGAATAACACTGCCTTCATGGAATGATGTAGAAATTCTGTATATACTAAGGAGAAGTGGATTTCTATATAACAGCGGAAGAAACTATTAGTGGAAACTTGGCATGGAGCTAAGTAAATAAGGAGTGTATGTAGTACAGAGGAGGTAAAATGTAGCTGCTCCCAACTTCGACTTCCCAAGGCTTCCACCAACCGGAATTTCGCGAAAGCCCACCATAGTCAGTGCTGGCCAATTGCGCCATTTATGTCGCTGAACAACTTAGCCACTCGCACCCGGCACACATTTGACACCAATGGATCCGACATTAGAACATTGGTATTCCTCGCCTCCATTAGTAGACTGGACCTTCATATCAGTCAACGAAAGCCCGCAGGTGCCCTTGGCAGGACAATTGATGCTGGCGACCGGCTCATCCTTATCCGTTTTGCCGCTGAACCCCTTGACGACAATGTCGGTCAGCTTCGCGGTACTAGGTTGAGAAGCGCATTCCTTCTCGTCGGATCCGTAGCAGCTCTGGACCTGGAAAGCGTACGATGTACCATCCACCATGACATTCTCCCAGGTGACGTTGCTGACCTCCGCTGTGCCGTACCCTCCCGAGTAGATCTTGATTCCAGCTGCTTTGGAGCATTTAGTCATCTTAGCGTTTTTGAAATGAATATTCTTGACGGTGTCGACTTTGCCGGCCGTTTTGCCAATACTACCGATACTAAGACCGTGGGACCCGGTGCATTGAATGTTGTTCACAGTGATATCTTCGGCGCCATTCTGGATGGCAATGCAGTCGTCACCGTTCTCAACTTTGATGTTTTCCATGCGAATGCCAGTCCCGCCAAGGTCGAAACCGTCGGTATTCTTCGCTGGTGCATCGCTCTTGGAAATGGCTGTGAGAATCAAATCTGTATAGGTCACATTCGTAACACTTTGCTTAACTGAAGAGAAAACATTTGGCGGGTTCCTCATCGTAAGTCCTGACACAGTGACACCGGAGGTTTTGCCAGTGAGATAGAGTAGACACTTGACACGGGAATAATTCTTGTCCTTGTTTAGGAGGTCCCAGGCGGCTTGCCCGTTGCCATCGATAACACCAGCCCCGGTCTTCGAAATAATACTGACGCCGGTGACGTCCTCGAGATTCAAGACCGCGTCTTTGCCGCTCCAGGCCTTCGTATCGTCTGATACCAACAATGTTCCCTCGACTTGCAAACTGCAGCCGGAGCACTTGGCGAATGAAAGTTCGGAATTGATATGATAGGTAGACTTCGGTGGAATCAAAATTGTGCCTGACGGACAAGCAGCCATGGCCGACTCAATGGCTGGTACATCATCAACAGTAGGTGATCCACCAGCAGTTGGCGTACATGCAGGGGCTTGTCGTTCGGCGACATGTGTGTGTTTATGACCAATGCGCCGGGACAAAACCGGCGTGGATAGGGTCAGAAGAAGGAGGAATATTTTCGCGTGGCCGAATTGCATGTTGAGCACCGCAGCTGCGTGGCTCAGCGATGATTGTATGGTTTTTGGTGAATGTGGTACAATTATCCACCAGCAAGGATGCAATACTCTGCCATGATTCTTGTTTAAATAGAGGGTTTGGAACGTAAGCTGTTTCTGGAAGAATAGGGGTTTTCTTAGGTGACGGGATATGTGTCGCGACTAAATTAGGCGGGATGGTGTCTCGGATAGTTACGTAGACTTTGCCAGTCCAATGCATCCTATCGGTCGGATGTGATTACGGGATCTCCTGCTGAACGGGGACCGCATTAGCCCGACCTCTGACAATGGCCTCAACGGCTTATGCCTTAATCAATCAGTTTATGTGAATGATCCTTCCAAACGTCTGAACTGCCACACATCAGATCCGACCAGTAGCATAGATGATTAACAAGCGCAGACCTTCCTGTCCCATCCATACTCATATAAACAAACTACTACCAAAGCTTCGCTCGTTCGGGGTAACGTCGGATCTCATATCCGACAAGCACATGGAGACACGCAAAGCTTGGCGGGAAAAACTCCCGCGCTCATATTGGGCATGATCAGCCCCACGGAGGACCCTGGCATGGGTGTGGATACTGGCAGCGTAACAGCCGTTTAGGTGCGGCTTTCACCGACTGAGCTGCAGCCGAACAGAAAGAATTATATAGCAGACTAGTCCCTACAATTGGGCTCCAAAATACTGCCGTTATTTTCCCTTCCTTATGACTGGCGACGCAGAACAAACACCTGATATGCGCAGAAAAAAAGAAATGGCATTCTGGATCTGCTGCCTGCTGTTCTTTCCGATTAGTAAACCGCGCATTTTGGGGTCCCACAAAAACGGTTTTCAATGGTTCCTGGTGAGGGTCTAGGGGGCGGCACAACTGGAGCGAACTCGATCATGAAACATTAGGTTAGGGTTCGAAGATGCCCGTGCGCCGCCTTTGACTCTATTTCAAGACGCCACATCACAAGCACATGCAAGCCCTATCCAATGCATTTTGACCCCTATCTTATCATTCTTGGCTCCCTGGTCCAGGTATTTGTGCGCTAAACCGTGGTAAATAGTTTCAAATAACACGAACTTCTGACAATCTACCTGGTATGATCGGGTCATCATACACGTTCGCGCTCACGATACTCGTCCGTTAGCGAATGCCTCTAAAGGAAATAATGGCGTTACGTCTTCCTGTTACAACGCCCTACGCCCTACGGCTGATCCGCAACCCATTGTCTGACATGGATTAAAGAACTTTCCTCGGTACACCGAATGACTAGGTATTAGAGACTTTATTGTCTTGTGTATCTTGTACTGTACATCTAAGTCTTTGACATGTGTATGTCGAGCTGCCTCTTCATGTCCTTTCCGTTTTAATCAGAAACCTGGAGAAGTACCTTTCTAGACCTTCTACGTCTTCTATATCCCCAACCCAGCCAACATGCTGATCCGGTCGGCAAACAATGAGACCGCCTCTTTGCTTGTCGATGCCGTACTGTTGGTACGCCTGTCCTGTATCTCCATCATACGAGGGATCATCAGCGAATGTCTTCGCATGGTCCCATCCGAGTTCCGTGCCGAAGTGATGAAACGCGCCCAGAAGTTGCGACTTGCCAAAAGACGATCTCGGACTTGAATGAATCAAGAATGTCTCCCAGGGTTGTGTGTTCTTTTTCGACTGCGAGGTAAGGTGGTTGTTGAATCGGCCACTGAATTCCTTCGCAAACACCGATAGCCGATCCCAAACGCCGGGGCTATGCAAGTCTCCCGGGAAAATGAGCAACTTCCAGCAGCCATTGCTGTTCAGCTTTGTGGCTAGATGGACAACACAGCCGTCTTCCTGATCGACGACTAGGGATGAGGGCAGCCGCTTGCCAAGCTGAAGATTTCGTGCCACGGCTGTATTACTTTCACGTTTCCCGATAAGCATGCTAGGAGGATATGTCACTGCAACACCTGCCATGAAGCCGGCATACTTTTCGCGAACCGCCTCGACTCCATCTTCACTACCATCCTCCATACTTCCTTCCTCGTAAGCGTAAACAAGGCGGGTATCAAATTCCATCAACTGCTCCGCCTCCGGACGCCGCTCCAACTGGTAGGTTTCTAGGATTGCCGGGTCTACGCTTCCAGTGATGACGGCTGCGATCTTCCATACCAGGTTGTATGAGTCTTGCATGGAGATGTTCATGCCTTGTCCGCCCTTTGGCGAGTGGGTATGGGCAGCGTCACCGGCGAAGAATATTCTATAAACGGCAATTAGAATCTCGTCATCTGATGATCGGCTCGTCAACTACCTACCGGTCGCTGCGATATTGCTTTATCAGTCGCCGTCCTATCTGTTCGAATGTCAGAACTATCATGTCTATCCAGCATCCACAGCTCGACTTTACCGGATAAAGAGACCACCAGTCACAATGCTTGTACGTCAGCTTGTACGGCCTGAGTGCCTTCTCGGCCATATCTATCAAGTCTTCTAAAGATCCTTCTGACTCCTCGGGCCCATTTGGGCTCCGCCCCTCACCACCATTCATTTGCAAGTAAAACCGAACTAAGTTATTCTCTCTAGGGACCACCATCATGCTGCCACCGTCGCCGGATTGGATCGCACACGCTCGTCGAATATCGGCTATAACAGTCTTAGCACTGCCAACTGAAGTAGCTACCCGGGCCTTACATACGGAAATCTGTATCTGGAACAATATCCATCACACCCCACGTCGACTCCGTTTTCCATACGTCGGAATCGACCTTTAATTGTGCGCTCGTCCAACTACGCGCTCCATCACAGGCGATCACGTATCGGGCGTGAATGACTTCGGCATTGTCACATTGGCCATCTAGCCGAGGCTTAGCATCACCGATTGCAATAAGATATCTCCCAAGCTCAGTCCCAAATACTCACCTTCGTCGTTGGTAGATACCACACGAACCTGAACAGGAAATTCATCGTCACCATTCCGGCCAGAGCGACCAGGTAGCTCCAAATCCTCAGCCTTCCGTCCTCTCTCCACATGTACACGCCCTTTAGAGTCGAGATAATCAATCAAAATCTGCTCAACGGCACCCTGATTCAACAACATCTGATCGAACCGAGACAGCTCCTGTGGCTGCGATGGCTGGCATTTTATTCGTCGAATATTTCCCGTCTTCTCATCCACACCCTATAGCAAATCAATATAAGTTACGTTACCAGGGAGAAAACAGCCATACGAGAACCACATACCCAGTACGACGCATCCATATTCCCAACCGCCTGACGCATGACTATATCCGCAACGCCAAAACTATCCAGAATTTCCATAGTTCGACTGTTTATGCCATCTGCATGTCCTGCCTTTGTTCGCTCGCTCTTTTGGTCGATGAGTCGCGTTGTCATTGCATACTGCGAGGCCCAGCAAGCGGCCATGAGGCCGGCTGGTCCAGCGCCGATGATTAGAAGGTCTGTGTATGAATCGTTACTAATCATTTCGTCGCGTTTAGTGAAAATTGTATGTACTATCTATTAGAAAAGAGGCAATGGTAGACTACTTATGGAGTTTTACTTTTGTCTTTTTTACGTAGATATTATGTAGTAAGTTATTGTTGGCCCGTGGTGGGACCCTTTTCCTTGTGTATTCTCGTCGACGTCATTCGGGTATCGCCACCATGATGATCTACAACCAAGGACTGTATAAATATTCCCTCTCATACTGGAATTGACTTTTCAGTATCTCGGAACTCATTCTATATTGTAAAATCCCAATACCATGCGGCCAAAACGCCATATGACGTCAAGGTTGTGCCTTCAACGTCGTTTTCCCAACATACAACAGAAGTTTATACCTACCATCTGCGGGAAATGAGCTGCCCATAAAATAATTCTCAAGAGACCGAAATTGATGAAAATTAACCAGGCCCTCCTTTGTCTAGAAATGTAGTTTGAGTTGAAAGACCAACTATACAGGTTTAGTCTACCGGAGGTACAATCATATGGGCAGCTTGTAAGATGTGTCTCAATTTTCATACTGCCCAGATAATGTGAGAAACCTCCAACACTGTAGGCGAATAATTTTCCTCAGCAGAAGTCGGAACACAACTGAGGAATAGGATGGGCCCGTACATGTGTTCGAGACGGGAGGGTTAGACAAATCCTGACCTGTTCCCACCACTATGATAAAACATGGCACCATGAACTTCTCCGCGTGCATCCCAGTCAAGGTACAACGGTTTGGATGGGTATAGACATCATGCACATTTATTCTTTGCGAGAGGAATAGTACCGATATTGTCGAATTGACTTGCTGATCTTAACGACCCCGAATGCCCGTTTTATCTCCGACGGCGCTTTCCTCAAACTGGATATTCCAGTCTGATATTTTACCAGATGTCTGCTGGTGGTTAATCAACGGCTGATTCCACGCAAAGATTTCGTATGTTGCCTCGCCGGCTGTATTCGACATTTTGGATGTCTCCTAAACCAAGCAAGCATTAACATGCACCTGTGGCGTGTCATCCAAAACAAAATAGGCAAAAGGCTTAGGACCCGGGATAATTGTCATGGCATTATATCATTTTGACGCGCTCTGTTGTTGTAAGCCATATAGGTATCAGATAAATTCCCAAACTGCGGTAAGCAGAGCGGTATATTCCAAATCCATCAATGGCTAATTGATAAGGGAACGACATGCAATTATGAGTACATGTCTGGTGGCTGCTATTTGGTTTGAGTGGCTTGTTTGAACATTACAGATAGGCTAACACGGTCCATCAGGGTGCATTGGCGCACCTGCTCTGAGGTCTTTTCTCCACAGACCTACCTATCCAATGCTAAAACGTGGTCCTTATCACTCGAAGGCCCATTAGAGCGTTTAAGGACTGGCTATTGTTGTCGACGGAGATCTTGCAACCTAGGATCCGAGTGCATAACTAAACTCAGCTGTACTAATAGGGGGTATGAGTGGGTTCCCAACAAAATGAGACCATATAAGATGGGGTAAATATTCTGAAAAGGAGATAT